GACCAGCGCCAAAAGTGAGGTTTCTGCGCGCCGGATGTCGGGTGCGCCTCTCCATGTTCCAGCGCCCTCTTCTAATTCGGTGCTGCTGGGGCCCAGGTGCGCCGGCTGCGGTGCCGACGCTGTCTTCCAGGTACCGCCTGCGAGCCGCGACCTCGCCGAGCTCGGCTGCGCCCACCTGCGCGCTGCCAAGTCGCGCCGTCGCCCCGGCAACGGCGCGGCCATGGCTCCCGCGCCGATCAGCGCGACGCGGCGGGCTCACGCGTGACCGAGCTGCGCGCGAGAGCGCGCCGCGAGGCGCCGCCTGCGCGCCGATCTCCGCGCGCCCTCAGCCCAGTGCGCGGCTGCCGCCAGTGCGCGGGCGCGTAACCACGACATCGTCTAGAATGTGCACGTCCATTCTTGGAGTTCCCGCAGTGCGCGGCGCGCCGGCCCATCCGATAGTGATGCTTGTTTGGGCGTGCCAGCCCATCTGCTATCGATGTCCTTGTTCTGCTGCTGGGACCAACCAACGCGATCACGGTCATGCGCCACCTGGGCTGGGAAGGCGAGTCATGCTACGACGCGACGGCGACGTGGGCTTTGATTGGCATGCCAGAGATATCCATTAACATTGCGAAATGCGTGAAATTCGCGCTGCGCCAAGCATTGAGATGCGAATTGTATTTGTTACACCACGTGCTGTGTATGTTGTTCGTCTCTTCTTCGCGTACTCAAACGTGCTACGCCCGTTTGAATGGGAGATCATAGGAGACATATTTCTGGCAGTAGCCCCGCCTGGTTCGCGCGCCGATCTACAGCTTGGGAGCGCAGGCCCGTCCGCTGGGCGACTCGCACGAGCCCAAATCTAAGCCGCTGCGATCACGAACTGCTCTCGGGCAGAACGGTGGATTTCGCGAGACCAGACTGGTGTGTCTAGTTCCCCCGGCACAACTCGCCGCGCAACCGCCGCTCCGCCTTGGCCCAGCGCCGCCGCGCAGCATTGCCCTGAGCACTGCGAGGACCAGGCATGCATCCACGCTCGCGCGGGCACGCGCGCGCAGAAGGCAGAGCCCGAGAGCGCGCGTCCTTCTGCCCATCGGAGTCCGCGCAGCAAGGGCCAGGACCGCCCGCGCACCCCCGGGTTCAGGGCGGGCGGGCCGCTCTTGCATCGAGTGAAGAGCGTTGCCGACAACTCGGGCATTCCAGTGAGCAGCGCCGCAGCCGCGGCCAAGGAGGCCTCTGCGCACGTTAAGGAGCTGCCCGGCCACCAGCCAGACTCCTGCGCTCATCCCACCGCCGCCGCGCACAGGAAGTTTCGGGGCGATGGCGTCGCCCCGAACGGCAGCCTGAGCCCGAGTCGCGAGGCCCCCAGCGTGAATAGTCGTGCATCCTGCCGCGTCGCCTCGCCGTGGACACCGAAGTGTCGACGCCGAGACCGCTGCCCTCGCCGCGGCCCTCGCGCCGCGCGCTGCCCCTCGCGCCGCCGCGCTGGGCAGGTTGCGAGGCAGTGATGCTGAGTGATGCCGCGCTGGGCACCTTGGTCGACGTGCTCATGGCCCTGCTGGCGACGGTGGAGAACCCGCTGTCCACCGGGCGCCCGAGCAGGCCGAATGGCGACGCGACGAACGCCGCCAGGACCTCCTCGACATCGCTTTCCGCAAGATCTCGAAGCTTGCGCCTGCGGGATCCAGGGCCCCCGTCGTGGAGCTCTCGCGCCTCCTGGCGCGCTACTTCCACGAGGCCTCCTCCCGCGCCTAGGCGACGCAGTCCGTCGGGGGGGGGGGGTCGCCGGGGATCGCGACGTCGCGATGCCCAGGGGGGCGGGGCAAGCCTCACCGCCTACCATCGAGGGCATGCGCGCCCAGGCGCTCACGCTGAAAATGGGCCCCCAGCCTTGCGAAGGCGACCGTCGCGGACGCCCGCGCCCAGATGTCCAGCTTCCTGGCGCGCGTCAGCGACTATGGCCATGGGCTGAATAGCACGCGCGCCCATGCTCGACGCCAGGCAGATTTCCGATCTGATCCCGCCGAAAGTGGGCAAGATCTCCCCCGCGAAGCCCGTCGTGAGCAACGCCGCTAGGGACCTCGAGCCGATGGCGACCTTCCAGGTTGCTGGCCTCCAGGAAGCCGCGGACGAGATCGTGGACAACGAAGGCCGGCGAGGCCCTCTCCGTGAAGGAGTGGCCGCATCACGGGCGCCTGGGCGAGCGGAACTCGGAGATTTCCGATCCCGCCGAGTAATTGGGTCTGTCTGGCGTGCCAGTGCAGCCCAAATGAGCAGCAGTGCCGGGCCGCGGAGGTCTACCCCTGGATTGGGCTTTTCAGCCGCCGATCGGGGGCGGCGACTGGGGGGCGGGCGGCGCCGCGCTGCCCAGCGTGCTCCCGCGCGCCGTCTGCGCTGCATCACGACGGCGCCCTCGCGCGGACAGTTGCTCGCGAGCGCGTCGACGCGCGCGGCTGTGCTGGCCCGGGGGCGCCGCCGACGCGGCCGCGCCCGGAGTCGCTAAACGGGCGACATCAGCTGCCGGGCTTTCCGTCGCGAGCCCGAAAGCAACGCGCCGAGCGACGCGGTCCATGGCTGTGCGCGACCCATTTTCCTGGGCAGGGACAGCTGGCCGAACCAGCTTCCATTGCGCGGCTGCCTGCGGCGAGGGCCCCGCCCCGCGCGCCTTCACTTGACGCGGCGCCACGCCTGTCCTTCCGAGCGCGCTGCGCAGCGCGAGTACGCGTGCGTCTTGACAGCCGCCGCCACGCGCCGATGGTCTTGATCGCGTTGATGTCCGATCTGCGAGCGGCGAGGCGCCGGGCGACCGAGCTGCGACGAGCGCCGTGAGAATGGCCGGACCACGCGGTCATCGCAAATCTCGTTCGACACGAGCCCCATCGAGAAGCCGATTCCTGCCGTCTGTGACAGGCCAGCCTTTCCGTCAATTGCAGAGGTTCTGTTGTTTCGCAAGAGAGCGGCGCCACGTGGGCAACCGCGTGGACGTCCTCATCGCGAAGCTCCGGCGGGCACGACGCGCTGGGCGCTCGACAGGCTCCACGCGCGCGCGGCGCCTCAGCGCCGCCCGCGCTGCGAGGCGCCGGCGCGACCGCGCGCCGCCGCAGAGGTCAGTGCTACATCGCCGGCTACGCTTCCTTACGGACGAGCCAGCATGCGTCGCGGTGGCCTGGCACGGTGGCCACGCTGTGTTGCCGATGATGAGGCAGCTACGAACAGCCGCGGCAGGTGCCTGCGACGCTGCGCTGCTGTTGACCGCGCGCACCGCTCAGCAGCTACCAGACCAATACACAGACCAGTCAACAGCTGTGATTGGTAAGCGTAAGCAACTAGAGGGACACTGCCGCAAACAAGTGGACGATCTGCACCGGCGCGCATGCTAAACAGAGCGCACGGGCGCCCCCCACCTACGCAGTCGCGCGCGCGACGCAACGGCCAGCTACGCCCGCCAGCACCTACTCACGAAAGGGTGCCGAAGGCGAGGGGCCGCGCCGGCAGTGTGGCGGAAGTAGAGCCAGGGAGCGAACCTGGCTGGAAGGCATGATCGGCGCTGCGGCTCGAGCGCGCGCTGGTCGCGATCTGCGCTGGGCCCCCGCGAGCGAACGCTCCTGGCTGTGAGGCGACATCGGCCAGTCGCACTGGCTAAGGAGCCTGTCCCTGGGCACTCCTGGCGGTGGGGAGTCGTTACAATCTACAACCCTGGCCAGGGCCAGGTCAGCTCATCTCGCGCACGGGCTGACCGTAAGCGAGCTGGCAAGGCCCCCAGGGTTTACAGTATTCCGTTCGGGCTGAGGCTTCTGAGCCATGGGTGAGTTGCGGCGGACGTCTGCTGCTGAGGCCTCGCGGTGACTCTAACACCTCATTGCGGGCGGCCCACTGTAGCTGATGTGCTGCGGAGGGGCACTCTTCGTTGTGGGGTTGCCCCGAATCGAGCAGCGTGCACGCGGACCTATACAGCACCGAGAGGGAAAAGGACCGCCGCTAAGGCGAGAGCCACATGCTGAAAAGGAGCCGCCCTCAATCCGTGAGACTCGTGCGCATGGTTAAAACAACTGTTCGCGGCGCTGAGGCGATAACCACAGTTTGAAAACGAGCCGCCCTCAATCCGTGAAGCTCCTGCACACGTTTGACGAATGTGAGCGGCGGTACGGCGAGAGCCACAGTTTGAAAACGACCCGCCCTCAATTTTTGAAGCTTTTGCAAATTTCTGGCCCGCCCTTTCGACCATCCTCAAGTTGCGAATGGGAGGAGTTACCCATCAGGAAACGCAGATGAGGCGGAGGAGGAGCAGTTGGGGTGAGACAAACGGAGGAGGAGGAGGGGGGAGAGAGGAGGACGAGGAGGACGAGGATGGACGAAACGGACGGACGGACGAGGGGGGAGGAGGAGAGGAGGAGGAGAAACATATGAAGGAGGGAGGAGGCCAGGGGGGATCCTAGAGGGAAAAATGCCTTTTTTCAGAAGGCGGCGGGGCTTTTCAGAAACCCTCGCGCCTTCAGAAAAAGTATTATGTGCCTTCGGGGAAGGCTTAGACGACTTATCAGAAAGTTCGAGGCCTTCCGAACCTTCCGAGAAGGCCGGCCCACTCTCACCTTCCCTTTGGGCTCACCGACGAATCGAGGTTCAAGCTTCGAGGTTCGCTCTCTGGACGTTTTCGATCGTCCTGCGGCACCCTCATGGCTATTGTACGGCCGAATCCGCCTCCAAGTCCTGGTCAGAGCGGGCCTTAGGAGATGTTCAGGGGTGGATTTCTGCCTCCTGTTCATGGGGCGCGCCAAATGGGGGGGGGGCGCTCAGGAGGGGACGGAGGAGGGCAGACGGAGGCGGAGAAGACGTTCAGACTGCTCCTCCTGCGCCTCCTGCGCCTCCTTCTCCTCCTCCTCCATATCTTCCTCCTCCTCCTCCTCCTCCTCCTCCTCCTCCTCCTCCTCCTCCCCCAATCCTTGCCCTCCTCCTCCTCCTCCTCCTCCTCCTCGTCCAGGCCTTTCTTCCTTCCTCCCTCCCTCCGTCTGGGCCGCCAGCCGCGAGCTGCTCAACAACATGAACCCGCAGGGCCCTTCCGAGTTCGGGCTGCGCTTTTCGTACAAGAACGCGGCCAGCCGGGAGCCGCCCCGCGGTCGGGGAGGAGGAGGAGGAGGAGGACGAGGACGAGGACGAGGACGAGGTCGAGGACGAGGAGAAGAGGAGGGAGAGGAGGAGCAGGACGAGGACGAGGACGAGGACGAAAAGGAGGTCGAGGAGGAGGACTACGAGGAGGAGGAGGAGGAGGAGGAGAAGGAGGAAGAGGACCAGGATTGGGGGAGGAGGAATGCCAGGGTTGGAGGAGGAGGAGGAGGAGGAGGAGGAGGGCTAGGGTTGGAGTAGGAGGATGAAGAGGAGGAGGAGGAGGAGGGCTAGGGTTGGAGGAGGAGGAGGAGGAGGAGGAGGAGGAGGAGGAGGAGGAGGATGGCTAAGATTGGGGGAGGAGGAGGAGGAGGAGGAGGATGAGGAAAAGGAGGAGGAATAGGAGAAGGACCACAGAGACCACATGAAGGGACGACGTCCGGATCAAGACACAACCTGCGCGCGCCCGCACACGCGCGCGGGGCGGTCCTCCTCGTTGAAGCCGCCATCGGCGAAGGGGTGGGCGGCGCGCGCGCGCGAGCTCGCGCGCGACCGCACGCAGGACAGCCGCTTCTCCCCTCCCCGACGACGACGACGCTCCACCGACACCCCTCTCCACCACAGGCTCCACCACCCCCTCAGCCCTCCCCTGTCTCTGAGCCGCTGCCGCTGCCGTGTGAGAGGCACTGACCCGCAGGACGGCGAGCGGGGGCCCGCGGTGGGAGGGGTACAGGCCTCGTCTCAAGCGAGCGAGGTCCTGGGCTCCTTTGGGGGATGGGGGCCTCGCATCTTTGGATAAGCCATCTGCCGTCAACAGAGGCCGTGGACCCGCAGGTCAAATAAAGATGCAGCGAAAATTCAGCCCAGAATGTCAGAGTGTGTGTATGTGTGTATGTGTGTGTTTTTGTGTGTGTGTGTGTTTGTGTTTGTGTGTGTGTATGTTTTGTTGTTGTTGTTGCTGCTGCTGCTGTTGCTGTTGCTGTTGCTGCTGCTGCTGCTGCTGCTGTTGAACATTATTCCTTCTAAAGAATTATTATTGTTGGGACCCCTGGTGCGCGACCTCTGCGCCGCGCCTAGGCCGCAGCTACATTTTCATCATTTTTTCGCGAAAGCTTCAGAAAAGTGGATGAGCTCCGGATCCGGTTTTTTGTTGACGCTCGTTTTCCCTTGCAAAAAACAATAGAAAATGAAAATTCTTGTTCTTACTTGATCAAATTGCAAGAATCCCTTGCAAAAAATAAGGTAAAGTGGACATTCGTGCGCGCAAGACGAAATCCTTCCAAAACCTTAGGTTTCGTAACGATTTTAACATAAAAACATCAAAAACCCAATGGTTTTTTAAGAAAAAATTGTCAAAATGTCCTTCCGCGCGCGCTGTCCGAATCCCACAAAACCAATGGTTTTTCAACATTTATGTTACATGAGCTCGCGCGAGCTACTTTTTCTTGTTCTAACATAATCAAATTTCAATAATCCCTTGCAAAAAATAAGGTAAAGTGGACATTCGCGCGCGCAAGACGAAATCCTTCCAGAACCTTAGGTTTCGTAACGATTTCAACATAAAAACATCAAAAACCCAATGGTTTTTCAAAAAAAAATGTCCAAATTTCATCCCGCGCGCGCTGTCCGACTCCCACAAAATCAATGGTTTTTCAACATTTGTGTTACATGAGCTCGCGCGAGCTACTTTTTCTTGTTCTAACATAATCAAATTTCAATAATCCCTTGCAAAAAAAATGTAAAGTGGACATTCGCGCGCGCAAGACCAACAAAAAACACGACGATCTCAGGAACTTGCCCCAAAAATGTGACCAACTCCGCTCTCTCTGTCTCTCTCTCTGTCTGCTCTCTGTCTCTCTCTCTGTCTGTCTGTGTCATGTATTGTATGTCACAATTGCAGGATGCTGGGCACACGCGCGCCCCGAATAAGTGACCAAGTTCTGTGGGTGTGTACCCCACGCCAGTGTAGTAGCCACGGTCGTCCGCACGCCACGAAGTGAAGTGTCCCAACGTCATAGGGCGGGAAGCTGGGTTTGGGTGGTCGCGAAGAGTCGTTTGGATATTTGGTAGAGCTTGAACTGCCCCCCCACGAAGTGGGGGTATTGTCTCGCGTCGCATGAAAACCCTGGCACTGGTGAGAACACTGAGCGTTCGGGTAAAATGATTGTTGTTGTTGTTGTTGTTGCTGCTGTCGTTGTTGGCCCGCCACGCACGACGCCCGACACGGCGTGCGAACGACTGTGCATGTCAGTCTCCGGCACGGGGCGCTCGGCAAACTGGCTCCACGACTCATCGGCGGCCTTCCCGGTCCAGTCTCCAGCGCACCTATCGCCAGACGTAAGGAGGCCTTCCAAGCAGAAATCATCAGGGGAAAAGCACACACAGACACACTGAATCGTCGACCTCCAGGAAAATATGGGAAAAGGATGGGACTTGGGCGGGAAGACGAAACCACAGAGAAGCTGGGGAAATATATGGGGAATCCTGTCATCTGTGTGCCTTTATTGGTGTGTCTCTGGGCCCCCTGGAAAAAAAGGGGGGTCGCCAGGCGCCTCCAGGCGGGCGGCCGTCCGCGCGATCTGCGCGCCGGCCTCGCCCCCCGGCGCGCGCAGCGCCCACGCGGCCCTGCACCACAGACCCCGGCTCGGGCCCAGCAGCTGGGCCCCGGCTTGCCGTGAGCTCGGCCCGCTCCCCGGCCATCAAGGACTGGTCTCGGGAGGGGACGAAAAGCACACAGACACAAGCAGTCGTCTGCTTGCAGGGACATCTGGGGACAGCATGGGAAATGTGGGGGGGGAGGACAAGAAATCCCAGAAAATATCGGGAATCCTGTTGTTTGTGTGCATTTATTTGCGTGTCTCTGGGCCCCTTCATGGTTGGTAATCCGTACTATGAATCAAAGGGCCAGTGGCTTGGCCAGGGCGAGCGCAACTATCTCTGCGCGCGGCACGGTCTGAGCTGGAGCTCAGAGGAGGAAAAAGGGACCCACACCGCTGCCCTTCGCCCGTTTTTCCCTTGCTGCGCCCTCTTGGCAGGATCTCGTCGCCACCGTTGGCTTCGCCTCGTAATTCTGGGCAGAACGCATCCCACGAAGGGTCCAGGGAGTAGCGGTGTCGGTGCCGTTTGATTTCCACAGGAGCCACGCATCGACGAGCTGGCGGCGGACCTCGAGGCCAGGGTCGCTGCCTCCCAGCACCGTCTGGCGAACAGTGGTCAGGCGCTGGCCTCTGCCAGTGCCAGAGACCGCGCGAGCAGCTTGACGCCTCAACGCAGGGGCCTGGCTCGGTGGCGTACCCAGGCATTGATGGCCATAGCTGGCCTTAGGTCGGGCCCGTCCTTCTACAGGAGGAATATTTAAAAATAGTCAAAAACTAGTCTGGGGATTACTTTTTGAGGATTGTTTGAACATTGTGGAATATTTTTTTGTATTTTTATTTTTTGTCGAAAATCTCCGTGTAGGGGGACACGCCCGACTTAACCATAGCTGGCCTGTGGCAGCGCTCCCGCACACTGGGCACCCTGAGAAACTCTTCTCAGTCCAGCGAGGCGTCTCGTCTTAACGGTGCGCGAAAGCCGACCGCCAGCTTTGATCACGCGTTGTTTAGCTTTCTTCCTAGACCTGAAACGACCAGCCGCGGCGTCAACGCCTAAATCGACACCAGCGGAGCGAAAGGTGGCTCGCAAATCGACACCAGCGGAGCGAAAGGTGGCTCGCATTCCTCTGGCTCGGAAAATCTTAGCAACGAGCTTGCGTACCTTAGGATGCTTGGCTAGAACCAGAGTCTTATCCGAAACCGTGAGCCTTTTCCTCCGGAAGCCCTCTGAGAACGACCGTGGCAGCCCGCAAGGTGCCGTTTCCCTGGATGGCAGCGTCACGGGATGCAGAGAGGCCACCTGGCCAGTCCGACGTGATTGGAGCTTCTGGCCCGGCTCCGTGTCCTACAGCCCGGCGCCGACCTGCCACGGACCACATAGATAGCACGGCGCCGACGGCACGGCGCCGACAGCACGGCGCCGACAGCACAGCACGGCGCCGACCTGCCGAGAGAACTCCGGCGTACCGCCCGGCGGCTTCGGGACGGCCGCGGGCGTGATGGCGAGCACCGCCGTCGGCCGAGTCTGGCCTGGGCCAGCCTCCTCCTCCTCTCCTCCTCCTTTTCCTCCTCCTCCTCCTCCTTTTCTCCTCCTTTTCTCCTCCTCCTCCTCCTCCTCCTCCTCCTGAGCTCGGTGAGCCCTGAGGGGGGCGTCCTTCGCAAGTCCACTGGGCCCTAACCACCACCTCCTCTGGCTTCGTTGGGTGCCTGGCGCCGTAGGGTGGCCTCGAGCTGGCCGTCGCTCCGCGGGGGCAGCGGGGAGCCCCGAGCGTCGCGCCCCAGACCTGCAAGCGGCCCCGAGGGATCTCTGTGCGTGTCCACCTTCTCCGTCCCAATTGACTGCCAGGCCTCCTTGCTAGGACGTATGGGCACACGGGGGCCAGCAGTCACCACCTACCAAACCACCCCAACCCAACCCGAAGGCCTCTTTTTGCCCTCCATTTCCAGTGGGGGGGGGTCGGGGAACCTCGAGAAAACACATATGGAACCCGTACCCCCCCCCCAACCCGAAATTCGGGTCTTCGGGTTGGGTTGGGGTGGTCTGGTAGGTAGTCAAGCAGCAGGTGCGCCATCTCGGGGCACTCCGCGAGGCAGCGGTCCGGAGCGCCTCGCGAGGCAGCGGTCCGGGGGGGGGGTGCTCGTGCACGACGGTGTGTGCGGCACCTGGCCTGGTGGCCCACATCCTCTTATCAGGAGAGGAAAAAACACACAGACACAATTAATCCTCGATTTTCCAGAAAATATGGGAAAATATAGGAAGTGGGGGGGAAGACAAGAGCCCAGAAAATATGGGAAAATATGGGGAATATTTTTATTTGTGTCTATTTATTTGTGTGTCCCAGTTTCCCTTCATCTTAGCCCAGTTCATGAAAGCCTGACGTGCCTTGACCAACGATCTCGCCTGCG